CATGAAAATGACAAAAGCAGGTATTGGTGAAGGGGGCATATATAGCTTGAGGCCAGAAGGGGCATGAATGAGGTGTGGCCCCGCTCCTGAAATTCATAACTGGTAGGCTTGTGACGACCATCGGCCCAGGAGGAGGATTAAGTAGTCAGGAATTCCCTTGCGGGAAGCAGAAATTGCAGCGCCGAAGCAAAAGTAATGCCCAGAGAAGAGACTGAGAGGAATCCCGGATGACAAGAGAACTTGGCGAAAGTGTGAAAGAAACTATGATCTTGTTTGGATGTGGCCGGATTCAGTGATGAACAGTGGATCTGAAGGTAAGGCGTGCTGAGATTTGCTGAGGTAGAGGTACTGGTTTAGCGATTCAAAGGGGCTTAAAGGTGAGTTTATTTTGAAGTAGTCTATTGGAATGGGGCTGCCCGATGGGTGGTTTTGCTTCGTTTGAGGAAGAAGATGAGACAGTCTTCAGAAACTGGGTGGAAGTTGCTTAAACACGAGTGAAGATCTGGTTGAAATTTCGACGATGAGCAGGTAAATTTGGAAAAGGGCAAGAAGCCGAAGAAGGCAAGCAGGAAAGTGGCTTTGAGTGTGCGTGCCAGGAAGTAGCCACCGTACTTCAGCCAGAGCGTAGAGATGCAGCGATATAGAAGATCTGAAGTTAGGGGTGTGGGGTTGCAGAATGAGTATGACGTCGGAGACCTTTTATGTGTAATGGTATCTGGGATGACGTAATGGTTGAGCATGGGGAAACTGTGAGCATTTTGGCGAAGAAATTTATGCTGCCAAGATACATCTTCATTGTGGGAATTTTGATGCTCGGAAATTGGAAAGCATAAGATATGAAGCCGGACATAGTGACAAATGACAAGACGGGAAGATTGAAGTGACTGTGGAATGAACGGAACATGTTCCAAGCAGTCTAATAGGTGGACAAAGTGCTTGCTGCAACACTGTTTATTATCGCTTCTTAGAAAAGGCTGGTGAGTTCTTAGATGCTACGGTTTAGATTTCGAATGTCGTAGCTGAAAATGGAGGAACTGGTGTCAAAGCTGACTCTGCAGGAGGGGCCAAGGCTCTGAATGTCTGGAGGGAGAGACAAGACAGGGACTCAGCAATGAAATTGAAATGCCCTGGGATGTTTTATGCTCTAATTACGAACTGGTCGGTGACTGATAGCCATGTGAGCTGAATGAAGTGCATGATGGAAGGGGAATTGCTTTGGCCTTTGTTGATTATGTCAACTATGGCAAGCTTGTCTGAGTGAATGGGGATTGATCTTATTGACAATTCGTGGTCCCACAGTATGGCGGCAATGACCAAATTTCGAAAATGGCTGACGAAGGCAGGAACCGCTCCTGGATATATTGGCGAAACTCAAGAGGCCAAGCTGAACGGAACCACCTTACGACGCAATAACCCCCAAAACCGGCAGAAAGGGCGGCATCTATGTAGAGCTGAATGTTGTCAGGGTGGGACAGCTGATCATCGTAAAAGAAAGTAATGTCGTTCCAGTTAGCAAGCAGAAGTTGCCAGAGTCGCAGTTTGGCTTTGGAAGAGCTATCCAGCGTGATGGAAACAAGGAGTGATGGTTTAGATACTGCAAGTGAAAGCAAGTGAGAGATAAAGAAGTGTTCCAAAAGAGAGTG